TATTTACCAACCTCCCCCACGGGGTTGGATGTGGCACAAGGCCGAATTTAATGTGGGGCAACCCAACCCCGTAAACTTGGCCAAAAATTCCCTGTAGACCCCGCATAAACGTTTTCGGGTCTGTCTACCTGCCCGAACGAAATTCTGCGCATCGGCATAGACTTGTCCGGGTTCCTCTCTGCCCGATGGCAAAAAGTTCGACCATCACCGCTGGAAAAGATTCCAGTCAGTATATTTACTAACCTCCAATCGCGATCAGATGTGGCACAAGGTCAGGTTTAATGGGGGCATACGAGCCCGTAGGCCCAGCCAAAAGTTCCCCATTTAAAAAGAGGCCAGTAGCTGTTTCCCGAGACGAGAATCTGGCCTTCGGCATAAGCTCGTATGGAGATCCTCTACCCGGAGGACGAGAGTTCGAGCAGCACTGCTGGAAAAGATTCTAGCTAGTGTATATTTAACCACCCCACCACGAGGGTTTCATGTGGCCCAAGGCCGGGTTTAAAGTGGGTTCTCAGAGCCCGTTGGCTCGGCCAAAAATATTCCCTTTCGAAACCGTATAAACGGGTTCAGGGGCAGTCTACCTCCCCGAACGAGACTCTGCCCTTCGGCGGAGCCTCCTCCGGGTTCCAATCGAGTCAGCAGCAGAGAGTTCGACCGTCTAAATGGAACAGATTGAAGCTAGTATATTTAACCACCTTCCCCGGCGAGGGTTGCATGTGGCTCAAGGCCGGGTTTAACGTAGCTCGGCCAAAAATACACCATTTCGAACCCGTATTAAAGGTTTAAGGGTCATTCTACCTCCCCGAACGAGACTCTGCCCTTTTGCTGAGCCTCGTCCGGATTACTCTCTGCGCGACGGCAGAGAGTTCGACTGTTTAGCTGGAACAGATCGCAGCTAGTATATTTAGCTACCCACCCCAACGAGTGTTGCATGTGGCACAAGGCCGGGTTTAACGTGGGTTCTTCGAGCCCGTAAGCTCGGCCAAATATATTCCCTTTCGAACCAGTATAAATGGGTTCAGTATCAAATCTACATTCGGCGGAGGCTCGTCCGGGTTTCTCTCTGCCCGAAAGCAGAGTGTTCAACTCTTTAGGTGGAACAGATCACAACTAGTATATTTAACACCTCACCATGAGGGTTTCATGTGGCACAAAACCGGGTTTACAGTGGGTTCTCCGAGCCCGTTCTCTCGGTCAAAAATATTCCCTTTCGAACCCGTATAAACGGGTTCAGGGTCAGGCCACCGACCCGAATGAGACTATGCTCTTTCCTCGGAGAATCCTCCGGGTTCCTCTCGGGTCAGAGGCAGAGTGTTCGACCGTCTAGCTGGAACAGATCGTAGCTAGTATATTTAGCGACAACCCACGAGGGTTTCATGTGGCACAAGCCGGGTTTAACGTGGGTTCTCCGAGCCCATAGGCTCGGCTAAAAATTTTCCATTTCAAACCCGTATATACCGGTTAAGGGGCAGTCTACCTCCCGAACGTGACTCTGCCCTTTGGCGGAGCCTAGTCCGACTTCCACTCTGGTCGAAGGCAGAGAGTTCGACTGTTTAGCTGCAACAGATCGCAGCTATTATATTTAGCTACCCTCCCCAACGAGTGTTGCATGTGTCACAAGGCCGGGTTTAAATTGGGTCCTCCGAGCCCATAGGCTCGTCCAAAATATGCCCGTAGAACCCGCATAACGGGATCGGGTTGGTCAACCTCCCCGAACGAGACTCTGCCTTTCGGCTAAGCCTCGTCCGGGTTCCTCTGCCCGAATGTAGAGAGTTCCACTGTTTACTTGGAACAGATCGCAGCTTGTCTCTGTAGTCCATTGACAGATTTTAGGTAGTTAAAAACTATAGTGTAGTCACTCATAGGGGTAACAAATTATTCTATTACCAGAAACATAGTGACTGCATACTTGCAGTTGACATGTTTCATCATACCACCACTGACCTTAGCGATGGGTTTCCAACAACTTAAATTTGTTAACTCTCCAGAAATTTCAAACTTGATATCTTCTATCACAAAACAGCACTATGGAACACTAAGTAATATTCTCTTTGTTTATACTTGGCATAACTGAACCGTTCGCAATGCTGCCTATTGTTATGAAAATAAAGTTTGTCCCTAGTTACTCAGCTGATATCCTAAATAAGTCTGTGCGTAATGGGTTGTACTCCTTGACATACTCCTTGACATACTGCTTCTATCTGGGTCTTCTTCATTATTTTCCCAAGAATGTTTTTGTTCTCCTTTCTGGTGCACCAATTTCAGCCACTTACTCGTCCAGATGATATTCTGCGAAATCTTTCGTGGCAAACATCTAGAGACCACATTTCAACAATACCTTCCTGTGTAATCCTCTATATGGGAAGTGTATCAATAACTGTCATTTGGACAACTATTTCCTGTGATTACAGAATGTGATTTGTTTTTAAAAAAATCGAATACATTCGCTGTCTATTTATGCACTGTCATGTATTATTTGTATAAATATCCTGGGATATTTTAAAATGTTTGGGTTTTAATATTCCTACTTTGGAAAGTATTAGCTTTATGCCAGCAACAGAATACTACGGATAGATAAGTATAAACTTATCTATCCGTAGTATTATGTCGTTGTCATAAGGAGTAAGACTAATAGAAGTTCCATTTCTATGTTCACTTTTACCTGTGTGGCACCATTTACGAGGCAGAGAAAGAAAGAGAAAGAAAAGAAGGCAGAAAGAAATGCGAGACGGATCATAGGTGATAAAACAGCCACACACATGACCTAAGAGACAATGAAAATATTGATAAGTAACAAGTGAAAAAGTGTGTCATTAGAATGACAGGGAATTTCTGAATAAAAAAAAAAAAAAGAGGAAAAGAAAGAAGGAACCAGATGTGTTTTGATAACGGCTATGTTATCTAGGTACGTAAACGAATGGCTGGACCACCGGCCCAGGAAAAATTCAAGTGAAAATGCTATTTCGATAAGTAACGAGAAACAGGCCACTAAAAAGGACTTTGGACAGATATGAAAAATTAAATCCCACACAAGCAGAGCGCTGACCGAATTCCTTTCAACAAAACAACTTGCCCTGCGATAATAAAATTATGTTATCAGACACATGTACCGAAGGAAAATAAATGGGAACCAGAAATGTTTTTCTTTCTTCCATGGAGACGACAGACTGACTGGAATTTTGGGGGATAATTCTTTTCTGAGGCCATGTCGGGAAAACCAACCATCTTGATGAATTAGCGATAAGCTACCTGACAAACGCCACGTGTTGAACAAAGAGTTGACATATCCGTTCGTGACTAGAGAAATGATAACGGCGATTTTGAAAGGAAGAAAAAGGAAAGAGAAGAGATAATTAATTTTTTTTAGTTAAGCAAGGTATTTTTTTTTCCGAAACAAAGCCGCGGATTGTTCACACCCGACTAAGACATCATTGGTCAAGTGGTGATCACGTGACGCACGAAGGAGGAGGAAAGATACCCGACCAAGACCTCATTGGCCGAGAGTGATCACGTGACGCACGAAGAAGGCTGTCGACGCTCCCATCCAGAGTGTAAGTATGAGAAGCTGCTACAAAGAAGTGGGGAGGGCAGTTCACGCCCCTCAGAAGTATGGTGAGAAAGTGGGAGTGAGAAAAAGTTCCCAAAAATGGAAAAGAGTGGAAAATCCCTAACCAGAAATAAAAGAGGTGGATATGTATTTAGAATTATCGAGGAACCCCTTCCCCCCCCCAGACGCCAACAGACCCACCCCGGTTTTGGTCGGCGTCAATAAAAGCCAGGCCCCAACAGGCAGAAAAGAGTTCGGGCCCCGGCGGCAGAGATGAGTGTCCAGAGAGTTCGAGCTCCAGTTTCCAGAGTTGAAGCCGCCTCGAGATAGCTGACCAAGATTCACGCAAAATTCCGGACTCCTCTTCAACCAAGAACAATTATTTTGAAGAGCGACTTAGGACCAGACCACCGAAATAAGTTTTTTCTTTCGTCCAAAGACACACCGAAACCAGAGAGCAAACAACTTGAAATAACAGGCGGACGTGTCACAATCCACAGAACAGGTCGGGAGATAGAAGCAGTCCTTGTATCGAACAACTAGACATAAAGTTTGTTACCTTTTTCTTTGATACTTTGAACTTTTTGAGTTTTCATTTTATTTTCTTTTATGCATATTTGTGTTTATCGGAACTCAATTTGCATTACGGCCCCCAACCACCGCGATCTCGTCTGTCTAGATCAATTCACAACGAACAGACTGGCGCCGTTACCTTGGTAACCAGGCGTTGGACGTCTGATATCAAATCTAACCAGATTCCACCCGAATCACCAAAAGGTTAGAACGTCACATTTGGTGCTGTTGGTCGTCACAGGACGTCACGACTGACGCGACAGGCGGACGTCACGTTTGGAGCCGTGGTAGGAGCGAACAGGATCACAACTGGCGCCGTGGTAGAGCAGGATAGAACGTCACAGTTGGCGCTGCGACCGGGGGACGACGTCACACCTGACAAGTCATACTATATTTACAGGTTTTAAAGTTTTCGAACATAACTGTAGCGTGCAACACAGCGTTCACACATGTCAGCGATAGAGGCGAATATAATAGTACATTCTCCAAAAGTATTATGGAAACCATTTGTTCTCATCAGTTTAATATATCCGAAAATGGACAAACATAATAAAATTACATAGTATATTTTTTCTTGGTTCTTAACTCGATGTAAACGCTACTGTTTTTCTTATTCAATCATTTTTGTGCTATAATCATATCGAATGCCCACAACATTCTGGTTTAAATCAGTAGCAGACATTGGTGAAAAAAGAGATTTTTTTTCCTGCAAATCGAAATCATGGTGGGTATGCGTGTCAATTTGCACATTTCGTTAGGTTTTGATTTCACAGTTAACAGATGGAAGGTTGCCATCGAGATTCCACATATTTTTCGACGAACATGACCCGATGTTGAGTCTGTGTGCAACGGCTGTCAAAGTTTCTTATTGATAACTCTCATGGAATCCCTAATTTACCAATCAAATCTCTATATTTCCCCTTGCTTATCTATCTATCTATCTATCTATCTATCTATCTATCTATTTCGGTCTGCTTATAATCACCCCAGAATCCACGGATTATTCCGGGCAATAAAACGGAACTGTCCTTCTTTACATATATCTAGCTTTTATGCCTACCTTTGGAACAAATCTACACAAACCTACATTTTACATATTGCTACTGATATTGATCTTCTTTTCAAGATCAAGGCTTATAATATTTGTGTTTATGACACAGTATTGATAGCAATCACGGAAAATACAAGAACTCCTACAGAATGTAGTGACGGAAAGCGATAAGAAAGGACTAAACATAAACTGCAAGAAGACAGAATGCATGGTTGTTAGCAAAACGAACAGCCCAACTTGCAGGTTACAAATGAGAGATTTCGAAAACTAACAAGTACGATAATGTAATTATCCGAGAAGTTGTTTAATAGAGGACGGAACGTGCGATACGGAAATCAGATAGCGAATGATGCCTTCACAAAGCTAAGCAAAGTATTAAGAAACAGAAAAAGTTAGGAACAAAGAAAAGAGTACTGAAATGTTATGTAATATCGGCCCTCCTATATGATAGAGAATGCTAGACAATCTTCTCCGTGATGAAGACAGAACTTGGAGCAACAGATATGTAGTTCTACAGAAGGATGCTAAGAATATCATGGGCCGAATATATGAGCAACAACGAATTAATTTCAACTTTTGTAGTCATTATCAAGAACCAATGTTGTGTGTAGTAGTTATAATTCCTCTGTATACATTGTGGTATTCTTTGGGAAATTGAACGTTTGAAGTGTGACACAGTTATTGGAAACGAGGCCGCACAAAATAAATGCGATTTATTTATTATTTTTTATATTTGTAGTAATAATATAATATATGCGCACATTAATTATATCATATGCACGGCAAGATACTATCTCCTGTGATGACTGATATTTTATTTAATGTGTGCTGTTAATTTTGTATAATAATCGCTTCTAGGGTTTTGAGTCTTTTCTTGCATTAGGTGCTGTATAATGTTTTGGTTTCATCTACAAATTATTTGTTTTATATTGGTAGTTACTGTTGTAACCTATGGATGGTTACTGAATAGAATAATCACACGAAAGTTGGTAATAAACGATAATACTTAGGACAAGAACAACATATATAAGATACGCCAGCGGCGCGTAGAAAAAGTAGTTAACTGCTAGAAGTGAGTCAAGTGAATTCCACAATGAATTTCCAACTGTAGGATATCTACTAACCGTTACACGCGGTCAGATGTGGCACAAGGCCGAAATTAATGTGGTGTATTCGAACCCGTAGGCCCCGGATAAAAGGGGGTCGGGTAGTTCTTTCCTGAGACGAGACTCTGCTCTTTGACATAACCTCGTTTGGGGATGCAGAGAGTTCGACCAGCACAGCTGAAGTCGAATCTCCAACTGCAGACCAACATACGGTATTTACTACTGTATTTATATGAATGGGGACATTGTCCGTAGGTATGCTACAACAGTTACATTTAGATTGTTCATGATGTACAGGTCCATGTTCATACGGATTGCACTGAGTTTTAATAAGTGACAGGTCAGTCTTCCAGAGAGTGTGGTGCATATGTACCCAATATACATATTTAATGTTGTTTTCAATTATTAGTGTTGAAGGTGCAATCTCTCAGCGGGGCATGAGAGACAACGATGTTGCTGCTAATAATTAAATTAGATGTTTTAAATTTTTTATCATAGATGATTAATCTTAGGATAGTTGTGTGGTATATATTATATAAAAAAATTAGAATAAAATAATATAAAAAAATGAAATAAAATAAATGTATCACATTCATTTTTTCGGCCTTGTTCCCAACAGCCGTTTCACCTGACTTCACACTAGACCGTTTCAACTATCGAAAGATCTCCATGATACAAAGAATTCTAACTACCACACAGACACTACATTGATATATATTTATGTATATAAAGCAATTTCTAAACATATATTAGATTTTTATTTATAAATTCAACATATTTTTATTTCTTTAAACGTTATTTTCAGTGCATACCCGAATTTAAGTTGACGCTTGTTTTAAACAGTATTTTATTTCGTCTACCGACCTGAACATCCGGGAAATTTTATAAAAGAAAAATAAATCCTCCAGCAGGATTCTAATCTGGTCTCCTTTTGCAGGAGAAATAGTCTGTGTACACACACGCACACACACACACACACACACACACACACACACACACACACACACACACACACACACACATATATATGTAAGCAAATATATGGATATAGATCCGACAGTATGAAGAAAAATATACGGAAAAAACAAACAAAAATCCTAATATGCAATTATGCTGTTTTAATTTTAATATGTCAACGTCGGACGTTTCGGTCTAATAGACCATCTTCAGGACATATTCATAAAACATAATTAACATTAGACTATATTTAATTCAACATGAAAAGACGATGGAAATAAGAGTATGACTAATCAAAACAGATAAGTGAAATTTTTCAAGAACAGCGTTCCGTTTCAATATGATCATGTCGGCGTCACGTGGGCGATGTTGTGAAAACGTACATATAAGTTTTAGATTAAAATAAAATTATTTTTATTTTTCATTCAAAATACTCTATTTTAGGAAAACAATTCATCGCCCACAAGAATACATAGACGGTTTGAACTCTATCGAGACTGGAAAGTGAGGACTGAGCAGTGCCTGTCCGTATAGGGTAACGGCACTCCTTTCTTGTTATGCACTGACACTTGTAAAGGAAGAGTATAGCAGAAGTCAAATGCTTAGTGGATCGCTCTTCGAGAAGCGTCATTTTTCTAGCACTTTTAGTGATGAATCGTATTTATGAGTTCTACTTGAAGTGTGGTAGGGGCTTATATCCCAATAGGCTCTTAAGGCATGGGGCATCCCACAGGAAACACCCGTTCATCGGGTTAGACGAAAAATTAAGGGTTAATTCTTTTTTTTTTTTAACTTGTGACGAATGATACAGAAGCAGGATAAAGAGATGAGAATGATACAGTAGATCACTTTGAAACAAAAATTAAACAACATCAGTTCCAAGATGAGAAACCACTTGAAAATACCAGGGACTGTAAGCTTGGGTGTGCGGGTGGTGTAATTCTTAATTGGATAGCCAAGTTCTAATTCCAGTTATATTACTTTACGCGCAAAATACCATTGGGAAAATAATGAATCAATCTCTTCCCCCCTAGCTATGGGTTAATTAGTAAAACTTGGATCACCAAAACCATTATTAACTCCAAGAAATCTAAAAATAATTTCTGGTTTTAGATAAGCTGCAAAGGGTTGCTAAACAGTAGAAAACGAATGAATAAATCGATAGAGTAGTTTTAATTATGACAATACAGATGATCACAAACTTAGCGTTATCAATAAACATGATTCCGAATTACAACTGGATTACAGAGAATTATTAATTACATGCTCACCAGCATTGGATATTAATAGTCTGTATTAACGATAGACACTCTTTATATTTAACTAGTGTATTTAAAATCAAATATAAAAGGAGTCGATAAGCATCAATTTATAATGACACAGAGGATGCCCGTCTACTAGGGAAGCTAGCTAATCCCTGCTGCCGATGCCTGCTCAGGCACATTTGCATTTGTTCAACACTCACAGATTTGTAATGTTCATCGGACTTTAGTAACACTTTCCGAGAGGGTGCGCGTTATCTAGAGTAACCAACCAGTCCGAACAAAGTCAGCACGCTTAAGCCCTCGGTCACGATGACTTGTGACTTGGTGCTAGCACAAACATCGACGGCTACCAATTTATTTCCGTCTGACTCACTGTTAGGATTTTCAGGCACTTTCCAAAGATCGTTTTCGCCAAACTGGTAGCATAAAGAAGTCACCTTCCTGACAAATCGACCATGGTGAGATTCGAACCCGGGTCTCGTGGTCAGAATGCGAATATTCTAACCACTCGGCCACGTGCCTATAACAATAAGCATAAGGAAGTCAAATATTAACATATTCATAATATATATCCATATATTTTGATGTGGAAGAGTTTTAACAAATACTACAATGATCATAGGTACAGAGACATGGTGCAATGCTTTTGATTCTAGGTGAAGTGCACAGATAGCATCCTAGGTAGAAGTTACAATCACTACCTAAAACAAAGTCTATCACTTTTGACGGGTACTATAATAATAATAAGAAGAAGAGGAGGAGGAGGAATAGGGAGAAGGCGAAGGAGGTAAATAAGTGGTAATATTTGTGACATAATTAACAATAACATCCACCATCACAAAAAAGATGCATAAGCAATAAGCAATGTTTGTCATGATAAAAAAGAAAGAAAGAAGGCAACGGTGCAGAAGATGATGGCTGTAGGGAAAAAAAAGAAGAGAAGAAATAGGCGAATAATGCCTGCAACTGAATGATGAACAAGGCGAAGTAACATTTCGCTATAAAATTGGGAGAAAATTTCCGCAATGAGAAAATACTTGGCCGGAAATGAAAAACTACGAAAAAGAAAGGAATCGAAACAGCATATTAATGAAGACAAAGGTCAAACTGACCCATCGCACAAATACACATTACACACACACACGTACATTTACGCGCGTGCACCCGTACACACACACATACATATATATATATATATATATATATATATATATATATATATATATATATATATATACATTTATATTGTATCGCGCAAAAAGTCATCTGTCACTTTAATCTTTTATATCAGAGGATGTCTCACATTGAATTTTCTGGATTCTATGAAATTCACTTTCACGCTTAATTATGTTTTATCGTGGCCTTCCTGATTGAGCGGGAACAATTTTACCTGGCCACCAAAAATAGTCGTGCGAAGCTATTCAGCCACTTCCCATCATCCAAGTATGAGTGATTTTCGAAACAATTTATTTCAGTTTATTTATTCGTTTCAAGCGGATACTGCACATAGTTAATATTTCGTTCCGTTATCGTTATCATGAATAATTGCTTCAATAAACCTGCTTCTCGTATGTTTCCTTCCAATTCAGGACCACTGCTAAAATATATGGTAACTATGAAAATGTCTCCAATAGCGTGAAGTCTTAATTTATAGGAAACACGATGCGAATCATCCACTGGAGAAATTCGACCTGGTGTAATTTGCTTGTAGTATGTATATATGCACAGACGGAAAATATGCCCTGCTGAAAGACGACACCACTTTGATAGTGATACTATATGGGCTGCCTTCTAATGATCTATTTAATCATTTTACCCCAAGCAGGGCACCTTGGCGTGGTGTAATGGTTAGCAAGCTTGTCTTGCTAGATCAGTTATTACTGAAAAGTGAGTTCGATCCTCACTGGATGCCCCATACTTTCGGCTTTGTGCCACATCTAATCTACGCTTGAAAAATCTCAACCCCAAGCAAGGCGATAACGAGGCAAGTGAATAGAAGAGAATGAGAAGATTTTAATGACGAGAAAGGACAACAAAAGAACAGGTCTCAGAAAGATAGAAAATGGCGATGAGATTTTATTAGGAGGCCGACAAGAAAGCCTAGGTACTTTTCTAATTCAATCGGTCACCTTGTATAGCAATACCGTTCATAAAAATGCACTATCTGTACCTACAGCTGAGCTTTAGAATTTGAGCTGCATGTTGCAGTAAAGTTGAATATGGTAAAAAACGTTCGTTACAATTAAGGTGATCGCAGGGATACGCATGTTTACTACTTTCGTTCAGAGTTTTTCAGGGTTAAGGGAATGTTGGCCTTTGATGGGCTGGATGATCATCTCAAAGTATTGACATCCATATGACCTGATATTTCAGCGATGTTTCTATGTTAGCAACAGCGGTCAAATCAAAGTTCTTACACTTGGAGATCACGTTATGTGTGGCCAAGTAATCATGATGTTCCTGAAGATGGATATATTTTAAGGTCAGCAGTAGCCGATCGCACGACATACACAGTAGGCAGAAAATATGACTAGTTAATATGGACCCCTGAGAATCGTTTACTAAAAGTAGGGCTAAAGACACGCGTGCATCCAGGCAGAAATCCACTTACGCACCAATGCCTTCGTTCAAGTCTCCAGAAAAGATCAACTCAGTTATTCAATGGCGCGTATTTGTTTGCATGTTTAGTGATGAGAGAATATTCTGTTTTCATACTGTCTACTCATAGCTTCCATTGTGTATTCACTTTTCGTTATAAGCCCAAATCCTGGCATCATTGTGTGGGATGCTATGAGTCACAATTGGTATTCGCCTTTGATCTTAGTGGAGAGGACATTGAACAATTGTAATTAGATCCAAAGTATTTATTAAGCCGTTCTGATACAAATAATATAATAGGATAGCGATATAATATTCCAGCGGGATAATGACCACCTTCATGATACTATTCATTGTATTTTTGATATTTTCACTAAACGGCTGGCTTGTCGTAACTGTGCTCTTTTGAACATGTGCATGACATGATAGAACAATATCAGACTCTTTAGGTTAAGTGTTCTACAATTTCTGGCTCACGTCCACAATATGTCGCAAGATTTTGTTCGCTATCTGTACGATCATGCATACGGAAATAAAAGCCTATGTTAACACTTACTGAGTGTAATAAATACGTCTCAATTCATATTCAGTGCCGGGGAAAAATATCCGGCTGATACCAAATCAGTCGGCTTTCGATTCCGGCTTGAGGCAATCGGATGTCTATTGCGTGAAACAGCGAAACAGTCTGTCTTTGGATGACAATATATACATGCTCCTGAAAAAAAATATTTCGGTTGAGCTATTCAGGGAGAAAAGTGAATTTGTAAACAGTGACTATTACTGTTGATGATGCAAGACTCTTCTTTCAGACGAATCGAGTTCTCCAGTCACCGGTGTGTTTGTTTAAAAATAAATGCGTCTAAATTAACCTTCATCCCTGCCATGCGCCAACGGCTTAGGGGTAAAATCTACGAGTGATACCAAGTCCGTCGGCTTTCGATACCGGCTTGAGGCAATCGGATGTCTAGCCGCACTGATGAGCTATGAAACAGTGTGTCAGTGGATGACAATATATATGTGTGCGTGTGTGATCATTTATAGAACGTGTATAAATTCATTCGATGTTGAAATTTTTTGTGTTAAAATTATATGCAGAAAATTAAGTAGATACGAAGGAATGCTAAAGAGTTATCAACTCAGCTTAGTTTTTCTTCGCTCAAAGTTTAAGTTATATTATTTAATCACGGTGAAAATGTCTCAAAACAGCCCACATTTCTGTACATTACCGTGCATATGTGTAAATTTAAACATATTTCATTAAATATTGCAGACAATAAAGATATAATTATATTTTTATGTAATTTTTCCAGCTTCCTTGCGTTTTTTTTCGTTTTGTAGAAGTAAGTGGGTACAAAAAGTGTTCATAATTTTCTTTGCCCCAATCGCTTTAACATACTTTTTTAGCCATTTTCATGTGTAGATTTTCATGTGTATATTTATATACAGAAAACGAGAAAAATCATTTTCGATATATATATATATATATATATATATATATATATATATATATATATATATGGGGGGGGCAGAGCGCGCGCGAGAGAGAGAGAGCAAATATTCCAAATGACTGGAGCAAGAACTAATTCTTGAACACAATGTTTATTTGTTTTTTCTTTTGTGATTGTTTACCTGGATCATGTTCAACATTATCATCATTTGCCGCATCATATTCATTAGTATTATTATCATATTCGGAAACTTTTATTCTACTCCTGATTTTATATAGTCATTTTTTCTCATTTCCTCCTTTTTAGGTTTCTTTTCTTTTCCTACTTTGTTCTTTTTCTACTTTAAAATATAAAAATATAAAAAAAAGTAGGAATATGAAAAGAATCTCATCTTCTGTTTTGTTTCCATTGCCAGGACTACTACGTCTATAAGATACTTCTTTTTCATTCTTTCTGTGTTTATTTCTCTTTGTCTCTTGTCGTGTATTAGCAGTGGTTAGGGAAAGAAAGCCTAACAAAGCCCCTTCAGGAGGCTTTTGGAATTTAGAAATTTCCTTCTTAAAAATTCATTGCTACCGCTATTTAACCCATAACTAGTGGAAGATAAATGTATGCCTTTGCCAACGGCTATAGTACGAAGTTAACGAAAATGAATAAACCGATATTTGAATTCAGTTTACCGTCTTCATTTAAACGTTCCATTACATACATGTACTCCTTCTACTAAACAGTTAACATTAGAGTTATTGCTATTGCTTACACAGGTATTCTGCTCCAAGCATTTTAATTTTCCTTTAGTTTTGCGTGTCTCTCTTGCTAACTTTGTTTGAAAACTATTATTTGATGATTTTATTCACTTTGTTCATTTTTGGCAGTTTTTCTCTTTTTCCCGTTTATTCCGGATTTTACCGTGTCTTTCATATTCTCATTCTTTTCACTTTTTATTTCCTCATCATGTTTTCTTTTCGCTCTGCCATTTTTTTTCTCTTATTCATTTTTCTTTTATCATTCTCTCTCTTTTATCTTTGTCTTCTCGGTGATCACTTAAGTATTTTCCCTTTCTTTCCTTTTTTTTTTACCTATACCGATTTGGTCATTTCTTTCTTTCTTTCTTTCTTTTTTCTTTCTTTCTTTCTTTCTTTCTTTCTTTTTTCTTTCTTTCTTTTTCTTCTTTTTTTTTCTTTCTTTTTTCTTTCTTTTTTTTTTTTTTTTTTTTTTCGTTCTTTCTTTCTTTCTTTCTCCTAGAAGTTTTTCATTATATCTCTTTTAAGACATCCTTTCCGGCAGCTTCTTTTCAACTTTTCTGTTCTTTTTCCTTCTTCTCGACAAATTTGACTCATCGTCCTGTTACCTCTCTTTCACATACAAAATATTATTTGAATTGCTTCGTCGACACACGGACAGCCTCACGTCTATCAGCATAATGATGATAGGTAGACATTGCCCCAAAGTTTACGTGAGTAACATGCCTGACCATCATTTTAAAGGGATGAAATAATTGGCAAGGGGCGGAAACTGGTGTGAGTAATGCAATCATTTTAAGAAATTTGGCTATGATATACACACACGCAAGCAGAATTGGAATTATATATATATATATATATATATATATATATATATATATATATATATATATATATATATATAATGCGATGGATAAATTGTCATCTAAATTACTCTCGCAACTCTTCTGGACGGTGATCTTATTTAAGATGGCGAATGCTGCCATAATCCTTGCCTTCAGTTCATCTTTGGTGTTACATGGAGTTTTGTTAGTCTCTCGCTCAATTGCGTCCCACACATAATAACAAAGGGAGTTGCAGACTGTAAAGTTAGGTACCATATGTAAGAGGTGATGTGGTCGACGTTAATTGTCTGACAGCCATGACTGGATTCTCCTGCTTGTGCGTTATGGTGCAGTATCCTGTTGTGGCCGTGTTCATGATTGACATTACTGAGAGTTGCTTTCTTCTTTTTATTGGTAACGCTTCCATCATTTTTTAAAAAAATTTCTGCATTTAGATGATGTTATCTACGAGTGTGTTGCGGATATAATTTGGTAAATCTCCGTTTGTCTTTAAATAGGTCCTAATGTAGATACGCTCCGAGAGATGAAAAGTAAATCTTATTAATAGGTATGTAATTGTATGTCCGATGTAATTATAATTCATGAATTTGTTTTAGCCATCAATGCACTTCCGTAAGGGTCATTTAAATTCAAAAATAATGTTTGTCCTTTGAAGTTTGGGTATTGCTGGTGAGTTGTTATTCTCAATGATGATATTGGATGTTTTATATTTGTTTAAATAAATAATCATCTTAATCTTTTCTGGTTTGTGTTTTTCTTAGTAATATTCCTAAGGGAAAATTCTTCCTGTTAATACACACACACACACGCGCACAAACATATATATATATATATAGAGAGAGAGAGATAGATAGATAGACTCTCCTGTCATCTTAATCTTCTTTTCTAGTTTGTGTTTTTCTTAGTAATTTTCCTAAGGGAAAATTCTTCCTGTTAATACACACACACACACACACACACACACACATATATATATATATATATATATATATATATATATATATATATATATATATATATAGATAGATAGATAAACTCTCCCGTCGTATTCAACGTATGATGGGCAAGCAGCGTACTTCCTAGGAACCGAGAGTCAGACCCCAGCACATATGATTTGATTATAGTGGTGAAGGTTTTGTGCAGAACCCACCACACTTATTGAAGGGCCGAATACAGAGACCTGGTACACTACGTACCACGAGTTCCCTAAACAACTCTCCGCAGGTTTTGAATTCTGATTTGTCATTCTCCTAGACTAGTTGACATCCAAGGCTATAGAACTCAGTCTGTCCTGCTATTTACCCATAGCTGGAGGGAGAAGAAGAGGATTAATAACTTTCTCAAGGGTATTAGCACGTAAGTGAATGTAATGGATTCGACTGTTATTCAAACTCGGCTCTCACGGCTTTCGCACAATATATATATATATATATATATATATATATATATATGAAACATTTCTCAGAGTTAACCTGTTTATTTTGTTATTATTATTATTAGATACTTTGTTTTAATAAATTCAAAAAATTGAAAAAGTCCACATTGAACGAAACGCGTTTACAGTTTTCTCATTGTCTTATATATATTTATATATTATTATTATTATTATTATTATTATTACTTGCACGGTCTCATTTTTGCAAATAATTACAAAGATAATGGACACTAAATTTTCTGTAAATGTAGTTGCTAGAACTAAGTGATTAATAAATATATTAAAATATTTGATTTTGAATAATTGTAAGCAAAAAATATAATTGCATGCCTGCAATTATAAATAGTCAATAATGCATACATTTTGAGGAACGCATATTTTCTAATATTTTCCTGTAACTTTATATTTATTTCCAACAAACATCTGCACAAATAATTTGTCACATTCGATGCACGAATTTCAAATTACTGCAGAATGATTTGTTACTTTTTACCTATTTTTTCTATTTATCCCGTAAATCTTCAATTTGATCGTTAATATCGTGAAGGCCAAAGTAAAGTAATTTATTATTATTATTGAAGAAATTCTTAACTAATGCAGAATTACGTTTTGAATTGCTGTCCAAGACTGAAGCCTGGTTGGGGGTTTATGCGCCAACCTAGATTCACTTTTAGATCCAATATTTCACAATAAGGAGCTTTTTTTCATTATACCATTAACTCGACCTCCATGTTTTATTGTTCACTATTTTATAGACTCACAACATTACGTCCTTATATCCGAAACTTTCTAGTTTCATCTCATCTAACCAAAGTATATTTTCCGATAATAGTTATATGTTCATTGCAAATGACAGTAGAGATTTCGAATGATTAGTCCTTAGAAAAGTGCTTTCGTGAAGGCGACATATTCGTAGTTCTGTAGTGTATAGAACTCCATTAATATTATTTCTTGTTACTTTCGTTTCAGCAGCTTTGAAATTATTACTGAGAATCTTAGATGTAATTTTTAGATTATTTTGAAGTTCTTAGGAGATTATCTTCTACTTTGGATGAGAGTTTCTTCTTCTTACCATGTTTATTTGTAACAGTTTTTTTCTCTCTTAAATATTAGAATGAGGTTTCGCACAATCGATTTACTTTTAGTAAATCGTCTAGAAATGAAATCATATCAACTGCCAGGTTTATAGGCCCGAACAATCGTGTTTGGAATTTACCGATTACATTTACATATCTTCCCCATTATCCAGATAAAAATGGAAATGGAAATTCACATCAAGGCCTAACTATATTTGTTATTGGTACAGCGATTTTATTTTCTACTGCTAAATTCCTTCTCAGAGAAATTTCTTTGCCTTCCTTCAGCATGGCTTATGCTAACCTCCGTGAGAGTCACCCATTGTGCTTTCTGAGTCCAATGTTTATCAGTTGACATGAATTCGAAAGATGATATTGAATCAATTTCTAGGTCTGCCGCAAAAAAATTGTTTCATAGTAGTGTGATAGATTTTCTGACCAGAATCTATCTTACACATTTACGAGTCTACCAGTCGTCCATACAATTGATAATTGCTGCAAAATCTGGGTCGGTATTACTGCTATGTATTTAAAGATTCTTGATAACATCCAAAGAAGAATCTTCAATCTTATCGATCCGGAACTTCAATCTCGTCTTCAGTCACATTCCGAGCAACGTAATGTAACTTCCTTGTACGTTCTCTAGAAATATTTTCACAGTAATTCTTCTGGCGATCAAACCTTTTTGGTACCCTGACTTTTCAAGTTCAATCGTCATACTAAATTCGCAATTAGATCCCATAATTTCACTTTCACTTTCCAGATTAATTTGATCTTCAAAAATTTAAATGTAATGTCAACCGTCATCTTCTTCCTCCTTGAATCTTTATCGTATATTGTCCTATCTATTTTTTTCTGTCTGAGTAAATATTGAATCCTAATATGTTTTATTACCTTGCTTGGGTGAAATGATTTAAAAAAAACAATTGATATTAGAGATATCGTATTGAATTACCGAATGGATGTGTTATATATAAAGTACTGGAAAATTTTACAATTACCACTTCCCAAAATCTGGAGATATACTTCATCTACACTATTTACATTGTTGTTCTCATCTTTTGTGTCATATTCAATTCTTCAGGTTCTATATATTGGAATTTCGAACCGAACCCTTTATTTTGTCTACCAAGGTAGATTTTCTAGTTCTACGTGCCTTTTCAGGATACGTCAACTATTCAAGTATTATGTTCAGCTCTGCTGTAGACAGGTATTGAACTCACAACTCTTTGAGACAAGTCATTGGATTAGTTTAACAAACGATTTTATCCACCGGGCCATGTGTCCTTGAGTTTGGCCATATATCCGTGTATAAATAGTTAAAATACCTCATCTCAGAAATATAGACAGATATACTTCGTCGAATGGAAAACTTTAACATATATCGTCTTGCAAATGCAGGAATACGTTTATAAGTACATACGTAAATACATCAATAATGATATAGAGTAATAATGAAAATTTTCAAAAATAATCTCTATCCCTGTGAATGCACTTGAGTCAGTGATGAATATCAATCACATAAGTCGATAAAAATTCAGACCAAACTTATTGATTTAACTTCGTATTTTGGGAGATTATATGGAAAAGAGAGAGAAAGAGAAAATGAGAGAAAGAAACAAAGAGAAAGAAAGAAAAAAACAAAGAGAAAGAAAGAAAGAAAGAAAGAACCTGAAAATGGACATATATTGTATGTTTATTTTCTTTTTCCTTTCTCTTTCTATTCGTATGCATGTGTGTATATTATTAGTGAATGCCTGATTATATATGTATTTGTAGGCAAAATAAATAAACGATATTTTCCTTTATCACCAAAGAATTTAAAATCGAAAGAAATATCAAAGAAAATGAATGACGAATTGAAAAATAAGAGAAAACAGAATTGAATAAGGAAATGAAAATGTAGAAATAATCAAATTATAAATTGCAGATGACAGCGAAATTAAATGAGTAGAAAAAAGCAACATATAAATAATACAGGGAAAGAGACCTTAAGTAAATGGAAAGGACAGTTAAATAGAAGAATAATAAAAACTTCTGAGAAGAAAATACGAAGGAGAAAATGAAAAAAAAAATCACGGAATACAAACGATTGTAGAAATTATAAAATAAAAGAAAGATGAGAAGTCACAGGAGAGAAAATGAAAATGGCGGAGAAAGTCGAATGAAAAATAAATAAATAAAATAGAAATGAAAGAAAGTTTAAAAGAGGGAAAAAACGATGGTGGTGGTGGAGGGGAACTACACAGAAAAAAAAGTTTAACCAAAGAGAAAAAAAAAAAGATATTCTGTAAACGACTTCAATAAAACCTGAATAAATAACAT